TGGCCTGGTTATTTTTAATAATTAAACCCATTTTCAAATTCTACTAATCTGTAGAATTTGAAAATAGTGTTACCATCGGTTGGGAGAGCAATTGCGGATGTTAACCCAATTTAGCTCTGATGGATAACTAGATTCGGGATTTATAACACTTATACACGTGATATGATGTCACGAACACCTAAACTATCACTTAATATTAACAATCAAACATTAATTACTGGGAGGGGTTTATTATTTACAATAAGTAGCTGTGCAACATTGTCGCGCTAAACCAGGAACGGACAGTAAATTGAAAAGAGTGATAATATTCCAGCTGCATACTCATACCAAAATAATATAGGTAAATTTGTTTATTTTAAAGTAGCAAAGTGAGTTTTTAAAACTTTATAAACTAAATTTCTAAATTTAATAGTATTCAATTCATTTGATGAAGCTTTAGATGCTTCTGAGCCAAAAATAAATGAAATAGATGAAGTAGCTGGTAACGAACAAATATTTCCATCTTTAGTTCGATCAACCCGTTTTTACTATGATGAAACCGATCTAATTTTTAGATGTCAATTAATATTGTGTGAAGTTATCTCGTAATTTTTTGCAATATTGAATAAAATAAAGTAACTTGGATAACATAATAATGAAGTTATTTTTATGGTACTTTTGCTGAACATATTATTTACTATAAAATGAGTTTGGACTTAACAGATATTAAAGAAATATACTTGGGCAGACTAAACATAAAAAAAAGTACTCGTTAAATATGTATAAGGTTTGAAGCATATATTATTAATCGAATTCATTAAAAATGTTTTAGAAAAGATTTTTATGTATTTGTCAAATTTTTGACAACTTTATTAACAGCCTTGACCTTTATTTTTCGAATTTGATATGCCGTAATACAATAACCATTCTTTGAGAATGATTTATTATTAAAGATACAAAAATTAAAATATCAACCCAACTATTTGATTCTTCAAATTCGCAAACAATAAAACTTTTGGGAATTGTTATATTACAGCTTGACCTTTTTCGAATCTTGTTCATGTCATCATAACAATAATTACTTTTTGAGTGTGATTTTATACTAAAGATATGAACAATGTATAAATTTGTTTTTACAGACTCGCAAATAACTAAAGCTTGAAGGTAACATACGCGAAAAGATAACTCATTACATTGCTTCTTTATGATTAACTCAAAAATATGAATTGTTTTTTTTTTTTTTGATATACTTTAAGTTAGAAAATTTTATTTCGTCCATAAAATATTAAATTATTTATAATACTACAATAATTATATGATTCTGATCAATTGAAAGAAAATGATAATTTCGAAATTTTCCTTATCCTACAACCAGAACCCACCCAGAATTTTTTTCTTTCCTATTGTCTGGACTTAAGTTCCTCCGCTCTGTTCCGGAAATAATTTTTAGCCAATCACGTATTGGCATTTTTTCTAGATTTCTGATTCCCAGTGTGATGTATGAAAATCAGTGGACACAGTAATTTGAAAAGCGCGATAATTTAAATTATGCGCATGCAGAGTATTAATAATTTTTCCGGAAATTTCATTTGACCATATGGTCGTATTAGTATGAACCATTTTTAATTATTCATTACTAAAATTGATATACTGTATAAATATATATATGTGTTGTGCCTCATATCCATTTCCGCGTCAGATCGAAGATGACGCACCTCAGATGCCGATTGTCAGGTGAGGTGCGTAACTTCTAGATCAGTCATCTGAGGTGCCTCAAACTGTAATACGAGGCACTAGTTAAAAATATAATCAATTTTTTTTATTTAGAATTTAGTATATACATAATTTATTGCTCTACAGTAAACTAATTTAAAAGCAATATAATTTATTTATTATCCCTTAAACCGTATTCCAGGCAAATTTGCCTGGAAAATTGAAAAGTATTTACAAATTTTTAAATAAAATTAA